ACACAATTGCACATCTGTGAATAACGATTTCCTGTAGCAAATGACGTCTGCGTGCCACTGCAGCAGATGATACAGAATCGAGTCGACACTTGGATGAGTGCTCGACATCATTAAAGAATCGTTACATAGCAGTGGGGCATTTTCAGTTTTTGAGTGTAAGTGGGCGAATGCATGAATCTGAGGGGACATGTTAGCTGGGGGCTGATGTTACCACACCAGATGCAGTGGTGGAGACAGCCAAGGCCAAAAGGAGTTTGCTTGGAGGGTAGGAACGGCAAGGCAGACAGATTTCGCCAAGCAGAGGTCTCATGCAGGGATTGCGAGTGGTGCTCACAGGCATTGTCTGCGTTTCTACCCCATATGCTAGCCAGTGTTTTTAATCTAATTTGTAGCAAGCAGAGGGAGAGACAAGAGTTCAGGTCTAAGAAGCAGAACTAAGGAAGCATTTTGAGTTGGGTACTGAAGGGGAACGAACAGGAAGGTCAGCTTGCGTATTCAGCAGTTTGGCACAAAATATAATTTAATTAATTTGTTGCTTAGAAAACCCTTACTAACATATAAAAGTAATATTACAATGTATCCATTCATACAACTAGACATTTGCTGAAGCCCTATAGCACCTTACCCAAGGACAGAACACATTTCTGCAAAGGATGCTCCTTAATAGAAACACTGACAATATGCCCTGATAAGTCTACTCATAAGTCACCTATTTCAAAAAATCCTTCGGCACTTCTAGGCCTTACATTCACACGGTATTTTGAAAAACGTGTGGGCAGCCTAGGAGCCACTTGCGCATATTTTCTAAACATAACAAAATATCTTACACTTTTTCAACTGACTTCCGTAAAGTGCAGTCATCCACCCTAAGAACGTATTCAAACATCGAGTTATGATTATAAGTGCCATTGTCTTCAATATCCTCTGGGTTTTAATTTTAAAAAATCTGCACTCGATTTTGTGCCTCGTAGTTACCCGTGAGGTAAAAATGCTTTTAATCACACGGACCCAGCAGACTATTCCTCACCCCACAAAGCGAGTGTGAAAGTTTAGTTTAACAGATAGGAGACTTATTGGAAAACCTTGCGATTTTGCTTGCATTAAAGGTAAACTCAAATATATGACAGGACAATTAGGCTACATACTGTTCATAAGACCAGTAGTGGAATAAAGGGAATTGCCGTTTACATAAATATAACCTAAGTATACTTGAGTGCAATGTATTCACTCATATGTCAAACATTAATAACGTATTTACTTTAATGCTGTATGGCCAGTATTTGTTGCCAAATAACTTTGGACGGTTACATAACGACCACGGCATATTCTGACAAGAGGCAAGGCAACTTTACTGTACTCTGTTTGGGAACTACAGTGTACAGCCACAAAATATATCCCACTTCGGTGGAGGATGTTCATAGAATATTTTTAATGAGCGAATGAGCGCATCTTTAACAAATTCTAATCTGAAACACACAATTTGCATTCAGGAAACGCCAGTACGACTAGGTCTCGCCATGCGTCAGTGTATTCACTTAATTTTACATCTATTTAGTACAGTACTTACCCCATTGTTTCTAATAATCCGGTGGCAAACAATTACACAGATAGCACTGCAAGATCCCTTTCGATATTCCAGCCTACGGTTGATTATATTGTAGATTTGTGAATTTCGCCGTTCTTGTTATGTCAAGCCATTTTCACTCTAGCACATAAACGTAGTCTGTTTATAAGCAAATCCATACAGATCGAAAAGCGGTCAAAACCGAGCATTAGCTGAAAGCGGAGAAATACAAGATGTTCTGCTAACTGCTTTCCCCGCGATGAAGTGTCATGTCCAGCTCCCCTTCACAATTGCACATTTCCAATGAAATCGTTACAACCAGCCAGCTAATTCGAGACATGATGCATGGCTATCGGGATCTTCGTTTTAATTCCAATTCTGCACACCAGATGGGTGCTTTGCAACCCAAAATGATACAGGAGCGCATACGCTGAGAGGGTGTGTGAGGAGATGTTAGCGTGGCTGCCTTCGGTATCCAGATGTCCCTCTAATGTCCATCAGGACTGAACCATAGGTTACAAGTCTTCTTCTTTCATAACGCTGGTACTTACTTCACACTCTCCTAGAGTGTAACCAGCGACACTGCAGCTGTCAAAGGAGAATGATACCAGACGATCTATCAAGCAATTTTCTATCGTTAAACCTCAAATCCAAGCTTTCGTTTCAATTCATGAAATAGTCCATATCTAGTCAGTAATAATACAATTCAGCAAAACAAAAAGCGGGGTCGTCTAGCCAAGCATCAGTTAAATATAAAGGCATCCAGAATTAATTTACGTCCTTTCAAGTCAACGTTATTCCCAACCTTGAGAGAAAAAAAAAAACAATTCGCTGATTTTTCATCAGCCTCTGTTTAATGAACCATATCAGCTTGCATCGCCACGATTGACTTAATATGATTATAACCGAACGCAAAACAAAACCTGAGAGCAAAGAGACGATAATCATAGAAAGACTGTTGTATTTTTATAGCAAAAGAGAGAGCTTTATTTGTGGTCATTCTGAAGGCCATTTTGCTTTTTTACATATTTATTTTTTTACTATGGTCTCTGCTGTATTCCTTTACTCGTCACTGCTGCCTCCATGCCACTGACAGAATTAAATTGCCTTACGTCCCAACGTCACCCTCCGCACTGACGTCACAACAGGCTTTCGGAACTGATGTCATTATCATCCAATAAGTGATGTAACATAGATATTATTCATAACTTATATAATTGTGACTATATAATTATACTTCTATCCATCCATTTTAATAAACAATAATTATAAGTATTATGGTACTTAATTGTGCCCGCGATCCTGCATAAGACAAGCGACTATAGGAAGTAGATGGATGGATGATAACAATGATACCATGTTTACTACTGATGGTATTACCTCAGATATATGAAAGTTTATTTTAAAATCTAATCTTGGTAATGCAAACATAATCTGAAACATAAAAGCCAATATAATAATAATAATAATGATAATAATAATAATAATGTTAATAATAATAATATTAATAATAATATTAATAATGATAATAATGATAATAATAATAATACACGTGAATGGTAGAACCGTATCCCTACGTCTCCAGGGCTGAGAGTTCCATTCCTACATATGGCTCTGTGTGTGCGTTGTTCTCACCATGCATTATTTATCAGGTGGTTTTACTGAAAGCCTATAAGGTATCACTTATTCAAACTATTGGATATTGAGTGAAGCCAAAATTGAATTAGTAATATTTATATATGTATCGATGTTCTTATTCAAGCAATATATGTGAAGTACTCTTCTCAAGAATCCAATGGCAAGATCGTTTATTTATTCTGGACCTGTAGTTCCCTGGTTAGAAGTCCATTTAACTCCCACACCAGACGTTTGGCTGTATTGTCGGGGTTTATTTAAAAACAATCAAGAGTGATATTGGGCTACAGGGTTTCATTGTCTTAACATTTCTATCATGTTACAGTAAAATGTTAATGTATCAATTTAAACATTCACAGTCACAGTGTTATTTCATTGTGTTTCAGTAGAAAGACAAAAAAAAACAGAAAATAAGGTTATTAACATTCATCCAGGCTTGAACTTTGGTATTATTCGTTTACATCCTGTAGAGGGCAGTCGTGTCAAACTAACACGTGTCTCGGGTCAGACGCTTCAAGTTCTTTGAGTGCAATTGTAATCAGTTTTAATCCTATAGTTTGAACAAATCTCACAAACTGCACTTTGGGAACCTAGTCAAGGGTACTGTTGATCAACAGACAGAAGGTTTTAATGTCAAGACTTGTTGTCCCGATGAGAAAATAACATCGTTCTAAAAATAGTTGTGAACTATTATGAACCGTGTTTTAAAATTATACACCCCCGATTCTCCATGGATTCCCCACTTCGGGTTCTAGAAAATAAAAGTCGTTTGTTAGTACTGAATTTCAATCGTAATCAATATTATTATAATAATGATGAAAATAAGGCTGATGTTTTGTAGTTTAAACTTAAACGTATGCGTGGGGCTGTAAGCTAAATATCACGAAATCGAAGTTTATATTCAATTCTGTATGCGTTTGCTCTGTTACTCCAAGGCGAGATTGATATACACCTGGGAATGGGGGCTCGTCATGGATCAGTTCCCACCCCAACCCTGCTTTTCCTGTGTCACATTACTGCGGTGATGGAGAGCAGCAGGTGAAGCTCTGATATTCGACCTTTGACGCATGGCTTGTTTACTGCAGAATGGCCTAATTGTAAACGAATACGATTTTATCTGTTTTTTGTTTTGTTTTGTTTTGCGTCGTCTGGGTGAGCTGTCAGTTCCCAGCAGGGTTAATGCGAGCTCGTGTTAGTAAATTTATTTTAGTCGGCTAACCATTACAATCATATTCCATCATCTCACGACAATATTTCATCATCGAGCCTGGGAATTCCTCTGTGATTTAAACGCATCTTCGATAAACCAATGTATTAATTCTGGAAGACAGAAGAGTGTGGGTTTGTGTTATAAGTTTCTGTTGTATATACAAATAATGAAGCATGTCACTGAAAACAAACAGCCTATTGTTTTCCTTATCGTGTACTTCATTTCGAGATTGATGCCATTACTGAGGCTAAAAGAGTACTTGTTGTGGCGAGTAATGGATTAAATTAAACCTCCAGAGGCTCTCATACTAGTCATGCAATGGACCAGGAATCCGCAAGTGTATTGTATTATTTTCCACAAAAACGTATTACTTTCATTAAGTCCTGGCAATTTCATAACTATGGCCACGGCTTTGACTGATAGGTCTTAACAGAATAGGTGACTTTAGTTTAATAGCACTGCTGACAAGGTTGCTGTCAGCCAGTCTGAGAGAAACACTAACGTTAGTGTTCTTTTGGGCAGGTTTCTGAATAATTACGTCTAACTAACACATTGATGTCCACCTTTGTTCAATAACTGATGGAGGTATTGTACAGCAAGCAGTTCCGTGACTGTTATGGTCGCTTGATGGTTTAATAATTGTAGCAGATCATTGACTAAAGTGACTGCATTTAAGTTTTTGTTTGGGTAATTAACATAGATGGGCATGGAGACCCAGCGATAGTTCTCATGTTCTAAATGTCCCATTGGGGTTGGGGAATACCGGGGTCTATTTCGGGAGTGGGCTGACTCAGGCGGCCAGCCCCCAGCTTGGAATGACCCTAAACTGGAGCAGCACTCCGGAAGACTAAAAAAGAGAAATAAAAAATAATAAAGAAAACCTCCGAAAAATGGATACCAGCAATCGGGAGCAAAGTGAGTATTCCTTTGGGGTCTTAGAGGATGAACCCACGGGGGGAGGCACTGCCGATGATGACGATGAAGACATCGAAGAGCTCCGAAACAGGTACGTGCTTGCATGACCGCACATAGTGATAGTGTGCCGCATGGAGACTATGCCTTGAAAGACACTGGGTCTGTCAGGTCTGCGTGCAAACCAAAATTAAGATTAAAAAAACTTTTAATCAACGACTACTGTTTCAAAAGCAACAGTCGTAAAAAAAAAGAAAGATACAAACTTTGATGGTGTGGTTATTTTATAAGAAACACGTGATGCCAGTTGCCTTCAAATTTAAATAAGATAATTATTTTTAATTATTTAAATGATTCCGTTATTCAACCTATTAAGAATCGAATGACTGTGTATGCACTAATCCATAGTGACCTGGAGGGTGCCCCCTGTCGATCTCCAATTAGTATTCGTGTTATGCAACTCTAATAATAACATATAGAGGGCTGTTACTGAAAGGGTTAACTTTTCATTCTCAGTGTTAATGTTTTATTCCTTTCGCTGACTATTCATGTTAGCAGAATAAAAATGCACTGTGGTCACTGCAATGGTACGCAGCTGGACTTGGTTCTGAGTAACTTATTTCAACAATTCATCAAGCCACAATTTTGTAAGGACTACTTTATTGCGAAATAAGTGTGATACTTCTGACTCTAGTTCTACATCTGATGTTATGTTCCACTCATCACCCCCGATCATACTTACTGGAAGTTGCTCATGAAAGAGTATTGAGCTTTATTCTCTGTTTGTATTGAGCATAAAATATCTTATTTGAAGTATGTAATTGCACCAAATAGCTAATGACTACTAATATATGATGTGTAATAATATATATTGTATATATAATAACATATGGTATTATGTTAATGTTATTATGTAATAAGTTAAACAATTAAACTGCAGTTAATTTGGGTAGAAGCAGTGTTGCTTCACCAGTTCAGAGTTAGGGGCTGGAATCCCATCCCCGCTCTAGTTTGCATTTTCCATAGTTTCCCCTCAGGTGGTCCTTGTGCTTCAAAGACACGCATGCAGGCTAACTGGCATCTCTGCATTGCCCGTTGTTTGTGAGTGTATGTGTGTTTGTGCTCTGTGCCCATCCAGGGTGTACCCCTGCCTTGTGGCCTGTGCTGTCTAGGGATACAGCCTAAGATCCGCTGTGAAATTGTAATGCGTAAGCAAATGGATGGATGTAACGCAAATGTTGATTGCTTGACAGATGGAAAAATGTGCCACTATAATTTGTAACGTAATTGCAGTTGAGGCCGAATCACTGTAACTTTGTTCCCACTTTTTTCAGTTTAAAGAACATAGTGCAGGACCAAACAGTGAAACCCAAGCTTCAGTGTCTGATGGTGGACCCCTCCTTCTCGATGGTGACGGTGCAGAGTGAGGACAGCGGAATCGTGTGGGAGACTGTGTCCAGCCGCTGTTCGACTCCGTGGGCCTCGGAGGGCAGCACCACCTCAGACACATACAGTCTGGAGGGCTCTGCTGCCCCGGGCAAAATAGTGATTATCATGGATGAGGATAAAATTGTGAGGAAGAGGAAGAAAAGAAGCGGAGGGAAGCTGGGAGAGAGACTGAAAAGACCATCATCTAGAAATTTCCCAGGGGGGAATGAAAGACCATTCATGACTGAGGTCTCTGTCCCTAACATAAGACCTGAAGGTGCAGGTGAAAATGGAGAACCCAAAGAAGATAAAGAACAGCAGTTATTTAACTTAGTTTCTGAGGGTTTTGAGATACTAAACATTATTGTTCCCTCAAAACTTGCTACAGTGGATGAAGAAGAAAGCTCTGAGATGTCAGATAACTTGTCTTATTTGGAGAACACAGCAATAATAAAATCAAAACTGATACGTGATGAAACAGAGTTAACAGAAACCACGAAAGCGATTGTTGAAGTCGAAGAAGAGGAGGAGAAGATAAAGCAGGCTGAAACAGAAAGTGTTCCAACTGTTGAACCTGAGGGATCTCAGGATTCGGTCGATAAAGAAGCCAAGAAGGATGGGACAAGTGATATGGATTATTTTGAGAAGTTTACATTGTTGGATGTGCAATTCTCAGATGAGCTTTCTACTGGGACTGAGGAACACGTGTTAGTAAAGAATACTCTAGGAACTGACCAACTGGAAGATCATGAAAAAATTACAGGTGATGGTTCAACATCTGAAGATGCATTCATTATTATTGGTGATGGTGAAATAGCGAGCGAGCATCTTGATGAGATTTTCAATAAAAGTGAAGGCTATGATCAGACAAGTGATTCAGCTTTCTATGAGGAAAGAGATGAAGAGGAGCAATTGGAGAGTCAGGGAGGACCATTGAACACAACTATGAAAGAAAGTGGTTCAGCCTTATTTGGTAGCCAAGAGACTATTCTCACACCTATATTTCTGTCTGAGGGACCGCCAAAAATTATTGATCCTATACTTCTGGAGGAGCCTGCGGCCATGTCATTCCTCTACACTGACCTTTATGAGGAAGCAGTAGGAAACAGGAGGAAAGATGAAGAGTCCTCTGATGTGGAAAGCGTTGTCTCTGAGAAGGCATTTCAGAGGAGGCTTTCTGACTCTGATGACGCAAGTGGGTATTTGGAAAAGTTCATTTTGAAAGATGAGACACCTGTCGTGGAAAGTGAAGCTACAGAGCAAGATCAGAATGAAGATGGATTACGAATGTGGTCTCAGAGCTCATTTGAGCTCATGGGGTGTCTGACACGGGTGGAAGAAGAAGACACAAAGAAGGAAGATATCAGTAGAGAAGCAACACAGAGTATGCCAAATGAAAAAAGAGAAGAAATAGTCACAATATCAGTAAGTAAAAATGATGACTTTGCATTCCAGGATACAGCCCCTGAAAATGAGGCATCTTCAGAGGCCAGAATGTATTCAGATTTGTCGAAATCTCATTTAGAAGCATTTGGAAATAAGGTGGGGAGCACACTTGTTGCAGGTAAGGAAAAAGTTGATAGACCAGAGGAATTAGCTGGGGAAGTAGTCACTGATGGACGAAGTATGAAAGATAAGGTGGAAGAACCAATCACTGCTTCAAAGCCTAAAACTCTGGACCAGGGAACAGTCAGTGTCACTGAAGATATCACAGGAAAAACCAAAGAAAGCACTGCTGATCATAAAAATAAAAACATTATCACAAAGAGTAAAGTTTTGCAAAGTAAAACGGAAAGCATTAGTCCAGAACCAAAATGCTCATCTTCAAAATGGGTGAAAAGCCATGAAGAATCTCATGATAAAACTGAAAAAACAATTATAGTCCAGACACCTGAAGTTGAAACAAAGGAAAATTTGAATTTGAATGAAAATTGTAAAAGTAAGCTTGAAGACACAGTTGTCCATCAGAAGCCTAAAAGCAAAGGTCAGGAATTAGTCCCTGATAGTGAAGTATCTCAAAAAATATCCTCTGCACATAAACTTTCAGAGACTAAAAATGGATCAGCTGTTGGTCTTAAGAAACCTGAATGCAAAAATAAGGTAATTGAAAGCGAGATACTGGAAGACGACTATGAAAAAAGCACAGAGAGTGTGAAGAGCCAGACTGAGCAAGTGAGCCATGATTTTTCAGATGGCATAAAGAGACTGCCCACTCAAAAATCAACAGAAAGAAAACTGCCCTTGGAGGAAGTCTCAGAGAAAAGAACAGACTCTACTTATGGAATGAAATTGCAGGTTTCACCAGTCCCTGAGTTAATTGAAGCACCCAAGATGATGAATTTGCAGGAAGATGACAGTGGGAGAGAGATAGAAGATACTGTGGAGAAAGAAACAATACCTAAGATCCAAGATGACAATATAAAAGTGAACACGACTCTTAAAGAGTGGGACAGTAGTGCTGTTCAGTTGATTAGGGAATTCCAAACGGTCCCAAAGAGAGAGAACGAGTTACTCAGACTGTCACCATTGCTACTTGCAGAAATAGAAGAAGAAAATAAAAAAGAACAGGAGGAACCAGATGTGTCAGTAAGAGGAGAAGGTTTATATTCTCCACTCAGGAGTTTTCCACCAGAGGTAAACCTCTCACAGTATGGGAAAGAGGCAGATCAAGGTGCGGAAATTGCTGAGGAGTTGGGCTATGAGATGATTACTCAGCAAGAGGCAAGAGATTCAGGGCTCATTGAATCTTGGGAGGAGAAGAAAAACCATAAGAGTGGTCTTGGCTTCACAGGACCACATCTCCCCACTGATGACCTGCTGGAGGATGAGTATGAGATGATCGAATCTTTGGATGAATTAGAGCAAGCAGAACATGATTCCAAAGGACAAGCTATGGATGCCTTCTGCTTAATCTGCCAGTGCCCAGTTTTAGCTGTGGATAAGCCCTTTGGTGAACATCAGGATCATGAGATATCAACACTGGATGAGGCCTATGATGACATTAGGGTAAGGGTTATCAGTTTTCTTTTCTAAATACTGAACTTCAGGAAGAGTAGTATTGTGATGGTTTTGTGGTTGTTATTTTTAAATTTAGCTTCTTGTTTTAATTCATACCAATATATGTAATATTTTCATTTGGATTATTTTCCTTAAGTAAGAGTTTAACAGCAAGTAAGTAAGTAAGTAAAGTTTATTTTTATAGCATTTTTCACAGACACACTAAGTGCTTTACACGTTAAAACCAAAACATATTTAAAATGAAAATTAAAACCTGTAAAATAATAAAACACAGAGACAAAAGTATGCATAAAAACAAACAAAACATTCTAGTCAATGGTCTGTCTCAACAAATGAGTTTTTAGCATTTAAAATTGTCGGCCGAGTCCACAGATTGCAGGCCCAGTGGAGGAGCGTCCCAGAGTCTGGGTGCTTTACCCTCAAAGGGTCTTTAAGCGAGTGCATGGGATGGAAAAGATGAATGGGCCAAAGGGCCGGAAGGACCGACTCACAGTGAATGGGTGAAGAAGGTCCACAATATATTCAGGAGTCTGGACATACAGGGCTCCATATGTATAAAAAAACCAACACATGATGTGCTTATTTATTATTGCCAGGAATAACAATGCTAAATGTAAATTTAAAAACGTCCTTCGGGGAGGAGCCACAATGCTACCCCAGTCCCAGTTCTGCTCACTTTGCCTGGATGCAGTAAAAAAAAATCCTGATACACTTCCTGAATTTAGGGTCTTGCCAGGTCCGACAGACCATTACCCTCTGATCCAGGGATAGATGCTCTATTCTCTACTGCAGTATTGCTAGCATGCAGTGGCGCAGATAGGATTTTTGAATGGGGGGGGACCAAGGATATTTTTTCCTTATGCAAAGACGGCAGATGCTGTTTTAATGTCCTGTAAGTGGGGGGGACGGATCGAGGTCACTCTGAATCTGAAGGGGACCCATCCCATCCGTCCCTGGTGCTAACTGCGCGCCTGGTAGCATGATAAAGCATGGTGTCAAACCCATCAATGACACAGTGTACATCAAACCCATCAATGACACAGTGTACACGGCAGAGTAAAATGTCAGTCAAGCCGTTTTCACCTAAAACAGCCTGAGCACGACATGATGGTGTTTCTGGGAAACACAATTCCACGTGGGAGGGTTTGGCATCTGTGTGTCACATACCTCAACTCCCACTCAACACTTGGATCTATAATGAGATGCTGTAAGAACCGTCTGTCAGCACTGGATCATTTCTTCAGGAGCATTACAATCTTATGCCAAACCAAACCAAAGTGCAGGCTTGCTTTTGGTGCATCTTTTTTCATTTGCAATGTTCATTGCTTGTCTCATTAGGTAATACGGAAACAGGAAGGTGCATGCATACGTAGCATGCATTTATATAAACGAGCAATTAATGAAAGAAACTGTAGTTTAGTACAAATTTACAAATATATTATGATGATATCATACAGGACTTAACCACATTATGTATAGCATGGAACATAAAAAAAAATATTTAAAATATATGTTTTTAGAATGTGGTGTTCTATGAGCTTCTAACAGGCTGGTTAGAAGGTGTCTGTTAATGTTAGACTTTTAAATCCTGCACCATTTACATAAGCCTTACTTTTTTAATGTGGCAGATGGCAGAGGGCTGTTGAATGGTACGTCAGCTATGTCTGTCCACAAAGTTATCCCTCTGTTTCACTCATTGGTATGGCCCAGCTTGAAATTAGGGTAGCTGAGTGACCAAGACAGCATGTGCTCTCTGATCTCAAGAGTTTAAAAATATCCAGGACGGCCTCACTCCAAGTGAGCTGAAAATGGTACCATGCACTGGGTTGACTGTTTAGATTCTGAGGTTGACCCCTAATCTTTGATGGTTGGACCTCTGATGGTTTGGACCTCTGATGGTTTGGACACTGGCTCAGTGCCAACACTCTGGAACTGAAGACATTTCATGCGGCACTCTCCGGGTACATTTGAAGGATTCAGGGGTGTCACATTGGCATGCAGTAGTAATTTGACACATCTTCCTGCACTTACTTACTCTTATGAGCAGAGTACAACTATTTTAGTGGATTCTGTTTGACAATTCAGACCTTATTAAGCTCAGATGACAAAGGCTGATTTTTGCTTCCAGAGCAAACTTGGTGAGTGGATTTCTGTGTTACAAGAACGATCGGAAAAGATTGAGGATATGGTCTCCGAGCTAGAGCTGGCATACAATACAGTAGAAGTAAGTGTTTTAATTATTTGGTAATTATTTGGTAATGCTTTATAGTAATTGCATCATTATGCATTCATAAAACATTCAGTGCACCTTCATAATGCATTCATAGAACATTCACAAGCAGCATGTAAGTATACCTGAACAGCTTTAATATACATTAATAACAGACATTATATGATAATAAACATTCTAATTATGTAATCGTGTAATGTTATTAATGTATAATAAAGCTGTTCAGGTATATTGACATGCTGCTTATGAATGTTCTATGAATGCATTATGAAGGTGCACTGACGGTTCTACAAAAATGCATTATAAAGGCATTAGGAAGGTGCAATTAATGTAAAATGTTACCAGATAGTCTTGTTTCCTATCCAGGATCTCTTATAAGAAACTAGATACATTTTTCTCATGTGATTGTAGCTAAATAATTGTACTTTTCCCCCTGTGGTTTGCAGGAACACTTTAAAACATGTGAGCAGTCCCTGGATGAACAAAATAAAGGAATGATGAAGCTGGTGATGGACCAGTACAATGAAATGTCCCAGAGTATAGAGGAGGAAAAGAAGGTCAAGCTGGAGCAGCTTTATGACCAGATTGTCGGGTTCCAGGAGAAGATCGATTCAGCAAAGGAAACCCTGAAAAAGAACGCTAATGAAGTCGAAGTGCCTGATGAACTTGCCTTTGTCTCTGTAAGTAAGAAACGATATCTTAGGAGGCTGAAACACACTTTAAAATAGTTTTTAGTCAAATCGGGAAGTTTCTAAGCATAGGCGGGTTAGCTTAATCTAAAAAATGCAGTATTAAGGCCTTTTTACACCGAGTCCGATTTTTTTACATACAAAAACCGAAAAACATTATTCTATGAAAGTTTTCATACCAAGTTCGACACATTCATGTTGTCGTCATCCATCGTTTTTTGTTCGGAGAGAGCTGAATTTTTGGATGCCCTATAAAAAATTAACGACAAATAGGATGTCCGATTTTTTTCTTTTGCTTATGATTACAACACAAGCTTGTAATGAAAGGCGGTACCATATTCTTTTCGATCCGACTTTGATTCGACCCAAGGTTGGTGTTGCAGATACCGATATTCAGTGCAGGTTAAACTTTTACAATAGATAATAATTAACGAACCGGGGGCAGGGGTTATGCTAGTAGATGGATCATACTGTGTCTGGGCAAGTTCCCCTTTCGCCCCAACTATGGGTAGTCCTGCCTAGCAGTAGTTCATATCCTGTACCTCATAATAAAAAAAAAATATTTAACTTACACGATTCAAAATGTTAACATTTTAATTTTAACGGTAGAAATAGGATACCAACGATATACAGTGTGTGTTTGTGTGTGTGTGTGGATGGTGTATAGGTAGACTCTTTCAAAAGATGCCCAGGGATCTTTTATGACCTGAGAGAATCAGGACTTCAGTTGTATGTCTCATCTGATGGACGGCATCATTTTTACAGCACAGTGTCCACATAGACCACAGGATGGACTAACCTGTTGGCCACACCAAGACCTCGTCCAGCAGCAACCTAGCTTTCTTAGCTGGTCTCTCATCTAAGTACTGGTCAGACCCAAACCTGCTTCGCTTCAGATGGATTACCTAGTCTGAACTGTAGTTGTCAGTGAAAAAGAAGTAGGGTTTATTGTACTGGTCATTGATCAGCAGGATAGGCAGGTGGTACTGTAATGTAGAGCCCTGCGCGGGACTATTTTTTTAATCCCGCTCCCGCCCACTCCCGCTGAATTTCTGACCATTACCGCCCACTCCCGCTGAATTTCTGACAATTCCCGCCCA